ATATATAAAACCAGCATACTAAAAGTTAGTACGTGAATGGGACAATTGTTACATATCCTGTCTGATGCCATTCTTGTTATCTGACTAGTGTTTTTATTGAGAAGCACCTCCTTCTAGCAGGAACAGTAAAATATTTTTAAGTAGCAACTTGTATATTTTTTTCAAACTTATATTTTTGAGATATAAAATTGGCATAATTCCTGACTATTATCTACCCTACAATTTCAAACAGTTTCTTCACAGACTAAGCATGGAGACATAAGCAGTGGATTTTATTGAAATCTAAAGGCATGTTTGAATGACATTGTTATCAACCATTAATTGTCTCAGAACCTTTATCATTTTTATTTAACTATATGAGTTGTCTATTTTTACATTGCATTTTTCAATGTGTTTCTTAATATTTTTCAGTTTTATAAATGTATGCTTAATTTATTATAATCTATAACCATGTAATTCTTCTTGTAATATGCTGCTTTAGTGTTTTGTAAATAAAGTTTATATATTTTCAGAGTATTTGTGTATGTACCATAAGATAAAATATTTTCAAAGAGAAACCTTTAAAACCTTAAAAAAATAATAACTAGTTCAGTAACCTTCAGCTTCTACAGCAGAGATTTGGTATAAATTTAGGCTTAGGCTATAAAAGAGCACTTCTCACTTGAGCTTTTTCTTGGCTTTAGTTCTAAATGTTCTGAGTCTTCAGTGTTATCAATGATATTTGACCAAAGGTAGACTAAGTGGAGGATTCAAAAATTATTTTCTACTGTATGATGTATGAGCTTACACTACAGGTTGTATTCAGATGGTGTAGGGTGTGTTAAATTACAAGAAAATTTTTAATTTCATATTTGGCTCACATTATGTTTCTGTTGGGCAGTATTAGTCTGAGTTTCCTGTAATTTCATTTTATTACCTTGGTAATTAAGGACTGAGAAAATGAGAGGCTAAAACAGAGTTTTATAAAGAGATGAGGTCATGTGGATAGATAGGAAAGGAGAGAGATGGAAGGTAAACTTCATGGCTGTTGGTGATGGTTTTGAATGCAGAGAGATTAAAGAAAGGGAAGAACGTAGGAAAAGTTGCTTGATTTTTAGTTCGGATATGTCAGTAAAGTGATGAGGGAGTTATTCAAAGCATAAAGGGAAAAGAACTATCGGCATGGAAGAATGGTCTAGGAGGCTCAGGGAGTCCGGAGGCTCTGAGAACAAGGAATGCTCAGAATGCTGGCTGGCCTGCACTGGTGAAGCCTTCTTGGCGCCTGCATTCTGGTCTGTGGCTCCAGGCCTTTGGGCCAGGAATTGGACCAAATAGACAAGAATTCATTTAGTTCAAACTATTGGTCTCCTTTTTCTCCATAATAGGTAGGGCTTATTGCCTTAAAAGAATAAGACTGATTGAAAAGAAGTCCTACTCATGGTAGACTTACTTAGCAAAACGAAAACAAATCTCAAATGATATGCCAGTCTTTATGATGTCTCTTGATTTGTCTGTGTAGGCCTTGCAGGAAAAGCTGTGGAATGTGGCTGCCCCTTTGTATTTGAAGCAGAGCGATTTGGCCTCAGCAGCAGCAAAACAGGTAAGCTTATTCAGACATTCCTGTCTCTAGGTCTCTCTCCAGGAATTGTTCAATCCAAGACAGAGCCACAGACCTTCCCATGGCTCCATGCCTCTGCTGTGGCCTCCTTGTTTTCAGGCTATGACAGATGTTAGTAATATGAAAAGCAGCATAATTACTGGACATAGCACTGGCTTTGGAATCAGTTCCAGTCCCAGATCTGCCTCTAATTTGCTCAACGATAATTGAGCAAGTTACTTAACCTTCCTCTATAAAGTGTGGCAGTTGAAATAGATGATGTATGTGATTCTTTTTTGTATTCTAAAATATTATCAGTTTGTGTTTCAGATATACTAAAATCTAATGAATACTAACATGAATCTTTTATTTGAAAACGTAGCTGAACTCATTTTGAGGTTATCTCTTTAGTCTTAACATCTCCTGAATGTTAAGTTGTCCTTAAATTTCTGAATAGCGCATTGAGTAGCATTTAATTTTATTTGCCTTGAGTTTCCTTGTAACTTTGCGCAGTTTCCCTTTGTCCTTACATAATGAGTTTTGGTGAACTCCCGTGAATCACATCATCCAAATTGTGAATCTGTACATGACCCAGTAGGAAGCTAATGATAGAGACTGTGATTATTACATTATAATTCCCTGAATGGTTTTAAGTCTGTTATCTTAATTAACTCTCACAATAATCCCATTAGATAGGAATAAGTATTATATTCATTTTTACAGATGAGGCTCAGCAAGATTGAATTTGTAGAACTATAGTTAATAGAATCATGACTTGAGACCAGGTCTTCTGATACTCAGAATCTGTTTTCTTTCTTCTATACTGCCTGATCTCTCATCTAATCTACACTCTTTCAAAACTGGTATGTGTGGCTCAGCGCCTGTGGCTCAAGTGGCTAAGGCGCCAGCCACATACACTTGAGCTGGCGGGTTCGAATCCAGCCCGGGCCCGCCAAACAACAATGACAGCTGCAACCAAAACATAGCTGGGCATTGTGGCAGGCGCCTGTAGTCCCAGCTGCTTGGGAGGCAGAGGCAGGAGACTTTCTTGAGCCCAGGAGTTGGAGGTTGCTGTGAGCTGTGATGCCATGGCACTTTGCCCAGGGTGAGAGCTTGAGGCTCTGTCTCAAAAAAAAAAAAATCTGGTATGGTTTATTGTAGGGGAGTAGAATTTAATGACTAGGACCCCAAATAGGGCCATACTGGGATGGGTGAGACCAGGGAGTAGTAGTTTGGAAGGAAGAGATAAAAGGAATTACCATTGCTATATACCAGATATGCTACTAAGTACTTTCCATGCCCCCCCCCCCATTTAATACTTTAAATTTTATGTTAGTGGTGCCCTTTCTTCCCTTCTTACAGATAGGGAAACTTGTCTTACTACGACAAGTAACTTGTTTAAGTAACTTACAAGTGTCTAAGTAACTTGTCTTACTGCCAGTTGTAGGAGAGCTTGTGGTTATTTTTCTGACCCTAAGGTGTTCAAAGGGAGGCGAGCATAGAAGGGAAAGAGGAGCATCATTTGGATGGAAGGAGCTTATTTGGATAGAATTGAGCAAGGATTTATGATCCTCTCTGCTTAATCTGGGGTCATAGATAGTGTTTTCTGCACTTAATTTCCTGCCCAAACTCTCTCAAACAGACCAGGCCTATAGACCAGTCTGTCTGGATGACTAACTATATACATAATGGTTTCTAATGCTTAATTCTGGAGGAGTTCCTGGGGATTGGGTTTCCATGCAAAATATATGTTAATATATTCCCACTGCACAGTGAATTTGGTTTAGGGTAACAAGCAGTGTTTGCAGTTCTTTGTAATTTTATCAGTGATTAAACTTTCATATCTTCATATCAACAATTAAGATGATTTTAGGCTTGGCACCTATACCTCAGCAGCTAGGGCACTGGCCACATGTACCAGGGCTTGTGGGTTCGAACCTGACCTGGGCCTGCCAAATGACAATGACAACTACAACAAAAAATAGCCAGGCATTGTGGCGGACCCCTATAGTCCCAGCTACTTGGGAGGCTGAGGCAAGAGAATTGCTTAAGTCCAAGAGTTTGAGATTGCTGTGAGCTGTGATGCTATGGCACTCGATGATCTTAATACCAGATAAAAGTCTTTTTTGGGGGGGATTTTTTGAGGCAGAGTCTCACGTCACCCTCGGTAGAGTGCCATGGCATCATGGCTCACAGCAACCTCAAACTCTTTCCTCAGCCTCCCAAGGAGCTGGGACTACAGGCACCTGCCACAACGCCTGGCTATTTTTTTTGTTGCAGTTGTCATTGTTTAGCTGGCCCAGGCTGGATTCGAACCTGCCAGCCTCGATGTATGTGGCCAGCACCCTACCCACTGAGCTATAGGCACCGCCCAAAGTCTTTTTTTTTTAATTGAAAAAATAATTTATTCTCTTTTCACAAGACTTATGATACTAATTTCTCTCAACATTTAAAGCATAGAGACTTAAATCTCAATTCAGAGTTTTACTGAAGATCATTAAACAGTAGATATTTTTATTGGTTGATAATTACCTTTTCTTTATAGATCATGGAAGAGACCTACAAAATGGAGTTCATGTACAGTGGTGTGGAGAATAAGCAGGTGGTGATTATACATCACATGAGACTGCAGGCCAAAGCTTTGCAGCTTATAGTAACAGCACGAACTACTCGAGGGTAAGTTGTGAGGTTGTCCAACAGGTGTGGCATGCTCCTTTCCAAATGCGTTCAGACATTACACCAAGGTAGATGATACGTAAGATGAGATTTAGGAAAGGTGAGCTAAGGGATATGGGATATGTGATATATTCACTTTTTCAGATATTCCACGTTCTGTTCTAGGATCAGATTAGATCCTTGGAAGTCTGACCATGTCTCTCCCTTGCTAAGAACCCTCTAGTGGCTCTCTCCTATCTCTGGCACAGCACAGGACTTCATCAACTGCCACTTCCCTTGATTCTCAGATGCACATTTTTTCTTATTGTAATTTCTCTGAAAACAGATATTTTGATGGTGTGCTGTAGTTTGATTGAAAGTCTTTTTTGTTTCTTGATATTTTCTCTCTTTTTCTTTTTTATCGTTGGGGAATCATTAATGGTATAAAGAGCCAGGTTACACTGCTTGCATTTTCTGGGTAAAGTCCCTCCAATAATAGTGTCCCATCCCTAAGTCACACCATGGCCCCACACTCCCCTCCCTCCTTCCTTGTCTCTACTCCCCCATACCCTCTCACCCCGATGTTTCTTGATATTTTCTAAAATAAAGGTATATCTTAAGAAGGAGGATACCAGGCTGGGTGTGGTAGCTCATGCTTACAATCCCAGTGCTTTGGAAGGCCAAGGCAAGGAGATCACTTGAGGCCAGGAGTTTGAGACCAGCCTGTACAACATAGTAAGACCCCTGTCTTTATAAAAAATTAGCCAGGAATGGTGGCACATACATCTAGTCTCAACTACTCAGAAGCCATGATCATACTACTGCACTCCAGCCTAGGCAACAGTGTGAGACCTGTTTCAAAAGAAAAAAAAAGAATGATGGCATCATAGGTTTGATATAATACAGTACCCAGGTAATTTGGTGCCAGCTCACAGACACATTTGGTGCTCAGTCCAGCAACTATGTCAACATAAAAGTGGTATAAAGAAAGAAATATATGTTTACGCATTGAAAAGTACTAGTCAGAAAGACATTCTGATAATTCTTTTATTTCTTCATTTATCTTAATAGTGATCTGATAAACTCAAAGAATAATTTCATCTTAAACATATTAACATTAATATATTTAATTTTATTATTTTTTTTTGAGACAGAGTCTTAAGCTGTCGCCCTGGGTAGCGTGCTGTGGTATCATAGCTCACAGCAACCTCAAACTCTTGGGATCAAGTGATTTTCTTGCCTTGGCCTCCCAAGTAGCTGGGACTACAGGTGCCCACTACAACGCACAGCTATTTTTTTGTTGCAGTTGTCATTGTTGTTTTAGCTGACACGGGTCAGGTTCGAACCCACCAGCCTCAGTGTTTGTGGCTGGCACCAGGAGCCACCCAATATCTTTAATTTTAAAATATTAAGATTACAGATTCCTGGCTCGGCGCCTGTGGCTGAAGTGGCTAGCGCGCCAGCCACATACACCTAGGGTGGCAGGTTCGAATCCAGCTCGGGCCCGCCAAAACAACAATGACGGCTGCAACCGAAAAATGGCCGGGTGTTGTGGCGGGCACCTGTGGTCCCAGCTACTTGGGAGGCTAAGGCAGGAGACTCGCTTGAGCCCAGGAGTGGAGGTTGCTGTGAGCTGTGATGCCATAGCACTCTACCCAGGGGGACAGTTTGAGGCTCCTGTCTCAAAAATAAA